TTTAAAAAATATTATTAACAAATATTTATTTAATAATAGCATTTAATTTATATAAGATAGTAATTAATTTAATATTGGGATCGTGGTATACTAATTTGATTGTATTGATAACAGTTGGGTGAGATATAATGATTGTATTTATACAAAATATAAGGAGTAGATAATTTATCAATAAGAATTTTAATTTGAAATGATTTAAGAGTAGAAGATTGGAAGCTATATGAAAATTTTGAAATTTTTTGATTATTGTTAATATAATGCCATGTAGCAGTCTAGTTAATATGAGCAATGATTTGAGATCACTATTGAAATTTGCACTTGGATGACCACAGAGTATAGATATATGAATAATATATAGTACAGATAATATGTCGAGTTGGTAGCTTTAAAAAATATTTATCTAATTAAAAAAAATAGTTGGAATTGTAGATATTATAAAATTTAAAAGTAAGAAAGTCTGAGATAAGGTGGTTGCAAGCCAATTGGTCAGCAAGATTATTGAATCGATTCTTTTGATGTATAGTGATTTTGTAAAAATAATTTGGTGGTTGTATGATTGAGTAAAGTTAATAAAGGTATGCAATAATATCGAGTATGAAGAGTTTATAGTAGAAAGAGAATATGATGATTTTTAAAGGCTATTATATTTAGAGATAACAAATTGTGAGTCTGTAAAGATATGAATAATACAAGATCTAGATGCAGTGCTAATTGCTGATAATATAGCAACAAGTTTTGTTTTAAAAGAGCACAGCTATTCATACTGACAAATTATTTTAGATTTCAAGGTACGGAATTAAAATTTGAAGCCAAAATTGTTTTTAACCTATTTTACTTAAAAGACAAAATTTTTTGATACTTTTTTTAAATTAGATTTGCTTTTGCATATAAAAAATTTTAAATTGCTCTAATAGAGACGAAATAGAGTTTTTAAAAACCTATTTCAGTAGTATGTATAAACATGGCCAGTATTTGATTTATGCTTAAAATTTGTGTAATATATTGTTCTGATAAATTTGTATCTATCCAATACCTATAGAGCAGTCTTGTATACCAAAGTCTAAGACAGAGCCATCTGTATAGAAAGTAATTTCAGAAGTTGAGTATTAGAGTTGGTAATAGTTTGAAGTATATTAGTAAGAGATCCAGATTCAAATATAGGTAAAATTGAAGCAGAGTTATAGAAGATACTGAGAGTAGATAGAATATAGAGAGGATAATGAATTGTGATAAATATTAATTAATTTTAATGCAAATATTATAAAACAATATATAGCAAAAATGCTATTTGATAACAATAATACTTTGAAATATATAAAAATATAAAATATATTATTATAAACAAAATTATATAACTTCTATTTTATATTTAACAAAAAACTTAAAGCATACCAAATAGATTTGCTTATAAATTTAATAAATCAAATCAACAAAAACTTGAAAAATTATTGAGATATATATTTTATTTAATTAAAATAGTTTTTTAATATTATTAAAAATAAAAATTTTTATAATTTTTAAAAAAGCTATAATTTTATTTAAAATTTCTTCATGATTCAAGTTATCAAATATAATTTTAAATACAAAATATGATTTATTTTATTTTACTATAAACGAATTAATTAAAAATCAATAATATATTTTATAACTATAGATAAATGATATAAATTATATATATATATTAGTAGTCTTGTTTATTCTGACAGAAAAAAGTTAAAAATTAATATTGTTTATATATAAAAATTTTTAAATTTTAATAATTTATTTCTAATTTTTTTTTTATTAAATAATGTAGATCTTGGGCTATTTTTTGATATATTTTTTATTATCTTTTTATAAACAATTTGTTAGGCTATACAAATTTAATTGATTGTTTTTCATAACCCAGTCAGGTTAAATTTTAAAAACTTTTAAAAAAAATTTTTTATATATTTTAATAGCCAGGTGGGGTTTCAAAAAAATTTTTTAGAAATTTTATAAAATTTTATATATAAAATTTAAAAAAAAGCTAGCTGGCCAGATTATTTTTAAAAGCAAATCTATTTGTCACTGGTGGTGATAGTACTGAAATGTGATCGACCAATTAGATCACAGAATCATATGTAACATAAAAAATGTAAAAACTCTGATTTTTTTAAAAAATTACTATTTTCTCGAAATTTCATCTATGAAACCATATTTTGCATTCTAACAAAAAAAATTTTTTGCAAAATTTTACTATATGCTATGCCTAACTGGATCTTAACTAAGGCTCTAACCCCAGCCCTAATGATAGTAAATTTTGACGCATTGTTTTTGTTTTGATTATAATATATTGGTTGATCATGATCCGGTGACTGTCACCGCTGGTGGCAAACACTTTTTTTCTATTTTTAAAATTTAATGTTATAAGAAATAAAAAATTAATTTTGTATATCCTTAAGTAATAAATTTTTTAAAAAAATTAATTTTTAAAAAAAATTAATTTTTCATAAAAAATTTTTTTTTTTAAAAAAATTAGATTTTAAGCATTTTTACAAGCTATATATAGTGTTGTTACAGTACCGTAGCCTTCTTAATAGCAGTACTATAATAATAACACAGCTACAGAGATCTTTCACAGGTTTATAACAGTATCTAACAGGTAAGTATAATTTTTACTACAACTAGAAACTATACCCTTCTGTCTGTGGCAATTCAGGCAGATAATAATTTATGAATAAAATATATATTTTATTAGAAAAAATAAGATAAGCTATCTTTAGGTTCCTATTCCTAAAGAATCCTATAATATTACAAAAGAAAATTTAGGAAAGAGAAGAGTCTGGGTCTAAGTAGATAGTATAGATCTAATATTAACTTGAAGAAATTTACATTCTTTTTATATCTTTAGAGCTAATCACTAATCATTGCAGCTAAGCATAGTTTACTTAGTGCTAAGCATAAAGTGTAATCACTAATTGTTAAGCATTAAGCACTAATCATTAATTGCTAAGCATAATTGCTAATCATTAATCACTAAACATAATTACTAATTATTAATTGTTATGTAATCATTAATCATTAAGCATAATTGCTAATTGCTAATTGTTGTGTTAAACATAATACATGTCTGTTAAATTCTACTCTAATAATAATAACTAAATAATAATAAAATAATAAAATAATAAATAATAATTAATAATTATATAATATCAAAATAATAAACTAATAAAATAATAAACTGTTCTATAACAGCACCATTAGTTTGGCCAGAATTAGTTAGAGTTAGAGTATAATTTTAGTCAAATTAATGGTACAAATAGCAATTCCCAAATAATATATAATTATATATATTGAATTGGGTATTATTTTATGATAACCTATTGCTATAGCAACCTTGTGATTGACCAATCAAAATAAATCATATGAGGCATATAATTTATTAAAAAAAATTTTTTTACAAAATTATTGCATAATAAACATCATTGCAAAAAAATTACATAATTATTGTATAACAAATATTATATAAAAAAAAATCTATAACAAGCTTTGTATCACCCATCTACTTTAAACCAAAATTTGACAAAGTTTTATTGTCCAAAGTGACAATACTAATAACAAAGATTCCAATATTGAAGATAATATTACCAATAATAAAAGATTCAATATCCAAAATTAGTATTATATATTTTGACTATACAAAAGCTTTTTTGATACTGTCTAACATCCAAGTATTCAAGTGTCTACAAGTATTCAGAGCATGTCCAAGCTTTAATAATTAATAAATTTGTTTAAAAAAAAAATATATTTTTAAATATACTGAACATATTTTACTTAGAAATTAATATAGATTATCTTAATAAAATTTTGAGTAATTTTAATTTATTTAATTGTTCAAAATTGTCTAAAGTGTCTAAACTTACTGTTCACAACTATCTCATGACAACACTGTCCAAAATAACAACACCAACAATGAAAGCTTCAACATCTACCCAAAATAATAATACTAATAATGAAAGATTCAACACCAAAATGATAGCATCAATGATAAAAGATTCAACACCCAAAATAATGATACTAATAGCAAAAACTTTACCAATAAATCTAATACAGTATGTGATACCTAAAGATTAAAATCATGTGACCTGTCCCATTTTAGATCCAAAAAATAAAATCATTAAAAAGCTGATTTATACATATTTATTGTGCAATCACGTGACCATCTAGTTACTACAGTAGAACCTTCGTAACTACACTTTCTATAAGTACACACTCTCACTAAATTCTGAACCAAATATATACATAGCCACTATAAATATATTTATTCTTACTGTTCTTTAAGAGCACATTATTAAAGTTTGTTTTCAAGTACATGTACTTAGAGATTTTACTGTATTCAATTTCAATTATAAAATAAAATTTTAATAATATAGTATCTGATTATCTGAACCTTCACATAAATCAATTTTATTTATAAATGCTTTTGTTATTTTGAACATTTGGTCATTAACAAGTTACAGCATAATGAATAAATATATTTAATTAATCTTTTAAATATGCTATTAATACCCTTATTCATTTATCTAACCTATTTGCAATATTATTATTTATCGAAGCTAATATCAAAGATGTATTACGCCTTAAAAAAAAAGTAAAAAAAATTTAAAAAAATTTTTAAAAAGAATTTCTTTAAAAAAATTTTTTTTAAACAAAAAAAAAAATTTTTTTTAAAAAAAAACCTCAAAAAAAAGATCAAAAAAATCACTTTTTTCTAACTTCTGATAATTTTATTTGCTGTGTTTATTGGGCCTAGAACTGAATAGACATAAATTTACAAGGTTAAATTTTTTTATAGAAAACAAAACAAAAAAAAGCTTACAATACAATTGGTATTTTCTTGCAAAAAAAGATCCAACTCTCTTTGTGGAATCTGCCTATATGACAAATTTCTTGCAAGCAAACTTAGCCAATTTTTCTGTTAATCCTTCATAGTACAATTTCATGTACCTTTAGAATTTTTTAGCAAACCTTTTGATTGTTAAAATATCAACAGAATCAAGTACTTGCAGAACAGTTCTTCATAATCTAGCCCAAGAGTAATTGCAATGATTTCTTGTAAAGTGCTTGGCTGCACCTAATACATCTCAATAAAATTGAGTTTGCAATAGAATTTTAGATAAAAAATGCACAAATAACTAGCATTCTCAATTAATTCTACAACTGCAGATTTTTGTATAACAAAATCTGGTTGGGAGACTATAATCTTCCTTGCATAGCAATTTATTCACAAAGAGTCATTTCATAATTTCTTATTCTTATATATTTTATATTCTAAATGCAACTCTTCTTTCCAAAGTTCCCTTTCCTGTAATATTTTTTTATTTCTTTGGGCTTTCCTTGTATAGTTAAATCTTCATGATCCTCTTCAAAAACCATCTGCTAAGCTTTTACATTTCTATCGGTATCAACATAAGTTGTTGACCACATTACTAGTTGATTTTCCCCAAGTCCCAAATTTATTTGCGATGCAATAAGAACATTCTTTGTGTATGCTGCATGATTGGTACTGTTGTCAAAAACAAAAATAGCAGTTGCATTAAAAAACTTTGCTTCAAATATAGGGATTGCTTTATTTTTAATTTGGTCTAATAAATGGTCAATCATTCAATAGTTTTCTTGATTTTTATCAGATACAATATAACAACATGCCTCTACAAGAAGATTTGGTTATATTCTTATCTCTTCATCAGAGAATTTTAACCAACCACACTCTTCTGATACAAATTCACTAACCATCTTCTATTTCCTTTTTTTCGTAATAGCATCTTTCTGTTGGATATCCAAATCTTTCTTTTTCTATCATTTACATAAAATACACATTCATCATAGATTACAAAAATTAGTTTTCGCTCTCCTCTATTAAGAACTGGTGGAACTTTTACCATTGTTTCTCTTTCAAATATTGCTATTTTTGCTTTAAAACTCCCATTCTATCTAAAAAAGTTCTTCTATATGCTACAATATCTTCCCTTTCATATCTATCTACATACATTCCCTTTTTGTATTCTTTGCATTTACACCCTAAAATACCCAACCATCTTTCTGCAATTCACAAACAAATTTTTTTTTGAGCTTCTATACATTTAGGCAAAATAACATTATTGATATATTGCATAAAACTAAACAAACTAATGCTATTTATGCCTGATTCCTCATGTATCTATTGCTAATATTGCAAAGCAATATCCTTATCATCAATTAACTACTTACACTTTTGGTGCTTACCACGTTGTGTAATTGGAAATGAACTATAGTTTAGATAAAATTTAGCTAAAACATGAATTTTTTGGGCAGTATATAGTTTTGGAGAAATACAGGTAATATGCGTGGCTTCTTTGCTTGCTTCTAATTTATCAATATTACTATCTAACTATACAAGATACTCATAAACTAACTGTTATTCATTATATTTAGTAATAGTGAATTTTTGTTTATTTTTTACTTTTAAATTTCTCAATTTCTTCATAAAGTGTATAATTCATTTCTTTTACATCAGATTTATCCTCTATATCAGATTCATTTTCTATATCTGATTCATCCTCTATATCTGATTTATCTTCTATATCTGATTCATCCAAATATATTACTTCTATATTTAATTTATCCAAATACATTTCTTTTGCATCAGATTTATCTAAAATCATAGAAGATACTAGAGATTTGTAAGACTCATGAAAAGACTTGCTTACTTGAGATGATGTAAAGTAGACTGTGGGCTGGCTAAAAAATTGGCTTAAAGATAAAAAAAAAAAATTTAAATTAAAGATCAGTTTAATTATACAAAAATTAAAAATGCAATTTACTCACCTTTTAGTTTTGAAAAAATCAGTAATTTTACAGGTTCTTTTGGCAGAATTTGTGAGTATATTAGAGGCACTGAATTTACAATAATATGTTGATTTCAGTACTCCTTTTATTATTCTTGCATGTTTTCTTTGAATCTTTTTCTATATTAGTGTGGTGGTGGTTTCTTTTTTATTAGTCTCTTTACCATTTTCCTTTTTACCAGACTCTTCATCTTTATCCAAGATATCTGCAAATTCCTCTTCAATATCCTCTTTCTCAACCTCTTTTTTGTCTTTTTTTAGCTTGTTCCCTCTGTTTATTATTATATATTTGAAGTATCTTATAATTTCTCCGTTTTGGCATACTTTAATTTGTTTTGACCAAGTCAGGTTTGTCTTCACAATACAGTTTTTTTTTAAAAAAAAAATTGTTTGAGAAAAAAAAAAGAAAAGAATTGAAGCTCCTTTACTTATTAAATGCTCACATTACTTATTTATAAAATTCATATTTTATACACTAATTTTCTTTTTAAATAAATGGTGTAGGGTATGAGAATTTTCCTTGACATAGATGCTTATTTAACAAATTGGGTTGTAAAAAAATGCCTTCTTTCTTATGAGATCAAAGGTATTGTGTCTATTTAACATTAATATAATCAATACTGATATTGTATGAATCTAGATTTAATCATGTGATAAAGCATCAACCAATAAAATTTTGAATATTTATAAAATTAAAGTTGATTGGTTGATAAAAGTCACATTTTTTATCCTATTTTACCCCAGTTCATATGTAAATTAGATATTTTTGGACTAGTATAAGTTATAAATAAATAATTTTTTTTTAAAAAAAAGGCTACTAAGTTGTAGTAAATTAGTATAACTACAATTTGGTGGCTTTTTTTTTGTTGTAGTATTTTTATATTATGAGCAGTTAATATTTAAAAAATTAGTAGATTTATTTTAGTCTTTAGATGTCATACATTGTAGCTCTGATAACAATGGTATCAGTGACAATGACTTAAAATTTATAAAGAGAGATACATTAGTAATATATATATATATAAAATAAAAAAATAAAAATAAAAAAAAATAACAAAAAAAAGAAATGAAATAAAAGAAATAAAAGAAATAAAGAGAAAAAAGAATGAAGAGAAGGGACAAAAAAATTTAAAATAAAATAAAAAATAAAAAATAACAATGAAAAGAATAAAAGAAGTAAAAAAAAGTAACAAAAAAGAAGAAAGAAATGAAATGAAAAAAAAATTGAAAAAATGAAAAGAAAAAAGAACAAAGACAAAAAATAAAAAAAAAGAAATGAAGAAAAAAAGAATAAACAAAAAAATGAAAAATAAAAGAAAAAGAGAAGAAACAAAGAAAAAAGAATAAAGACAAAGAAACAAAAAAACAAAAAGAAAAAAACAAAAAGAAAAAACAAAGACAAAAAAATGAAAAAAAAAAGAAAAAACAAAAACAAAAAAAAGAACAAAAAAAACAAAAAAGAAAAGAAAAAGAGAAGAAATAAAGAGAAAAAAAAACAGTGACAAAAAATGATAGAAAAAAACAAAGACAGAGAAATAAAAAAAAAGAAGAAAAAGAGAAGAAACAAAAAAAAAGAACAAAGACAAAAAATAAAAAAAAAGAAGAAAAAAAGAAAAGAAGAGAAAAAAACAAACAAAGAAAAGAAAAAAAGAAAAAAGAGAAGAAACAAAAAAAGAACAAAAACAAAAAAAACAAAAAAGAGAAGAAAAAAAGAAATAATAATGAGAAAAAGAACAAAGAAATAAAAAAAATAAAAGAAAAAATATGAAAAAAAAAAAAAATTAAAGAAAAATAATAAAATGGTAAGAAAATAAAAAAACCAAAGAAAAGAAATAAAAAGAATAAAAAGTAAAGAAGAAGAAAAGAAATAGTAAAAAAAAAAAAATTAAAAAAAAACAAAAAAATAAAAAATATAAAGAAAAAAAATAATAATAAAATAAACTAGCAAAAAAAAATCATTAGTTTTAAAATGAGTAAAAAAAATTACAAACCTGCCAAAGTGAAGTAAAAAACCTGTTAAAAAGCTGTGTAAAGCAAAAACAAAAAAATTAATTACATGATCTACTTATACAGTGCAAGACAAAAAAAAAACCCGCACCTATATCTGCTTACAGAGAGGTGCTACAGCCTTGAAACTTTCCCAAATCTTAGTAAATAGTTAGCCTAGATTGTGTATTTTTTTTGGTAATTTTTCAATTACTAGAAAAAAATTTAGATGAGAGCTAAAGTTTGAACAATTTTTTTTACGAAAAATGAAAAAAAATTAATTGGATTCAATTAAAAATTAATAAAAAATCAGGATCATGTTTAAAATTCTA